GTCAAAGTGCTCCAAGGGCTCATTCTGCAAGCCAACTTTCTGCCAGAAGGCACTCAGCTTTACTTGACCCATGGGCGGGTAGCCCGTTGCTCTCCCTCTCCATGCCTTTGCTTCTGCTACCTTTGCCCTTCCATGCACGGTTCTCACCCTCCATTCTTGGCTCTTCTTTTTTGATGATCCTGGGATCATCTATTTTTGCTTCTGAGATGGCTCCTTTGAAATCTAGCAAATGGCAAAAGTAACCAGTGCCCAAGTTAGAGTCCCATATACCTTATTTGCATGGTCTTATGTGGCACTGTGGGTTAATAATGCTGGACTGCAAAGTCGATTCAAGCCCATCAACCTCTCCTCAGAAACCCTAACAGAATCGCTATGAGTCAAAATCATCTCGATGATACTTAACAACAACAGTGAACGCAAACATTAGGAGTCCTGTGCTGGATTGCAGTGTCGGGGGCTCAAGCTATACAGAGTCACTATGAGTTGCAATCAACTCGATGGCACTTAACACCAACAACCCAATCATTTGGTGGGAGTTACAAAGAGTATGGTTGTTGTTATTGTGTGCTGTCAAGTCATTTCCAGCTATTAGCAATCCTGTTTAGCTTTCCCAGGAGTGGCTGGTGAGTTTGAACTGTCTGCCTTGATTGAAGTTAGCAACCCAGTGCATTTTCTACAGTCACAACAGTCACAGTTCAGTGTCCCACAGGACCAAATTTATGAGGACCTCTGCTTTAGGGTATATACTAAATTGGGTATTAAGGCATGTGAATATTCAGTTTTTTAAGATAATGCCAGTGTTTTGAGTTGGACTCTGGTGGGTTGCTGCATCCTAATAGAATTAAAATTAAAATAGGCATAGTAATTTTACTGCCAGTACCAGTTGCTGATTCTGACATGGTGACAGTAAAACTGCCCTGTAGGTTTTTCAATGGCTTATCTTCTAAGGTGATGCTAGGCTGACTTTGAACCACCAAGCTTTTGATTAGCAGCCTAGTGCTTAACCACTTGAGCCACCCAAGGACTCCTTTATATGTCAATAGTGCATTTGAGTTCTAACAAAAAAGTTAGTGGTTTGAACCCATGCAATAGCACTGTGGAAGAAAGTCCTGGCAGTTGGCTTTCATAAAGATTGTTGTTGTTAGGTGCCATCGATTCGGTACCGACTCATAACGACCCTATGCACAACAGAACGAAACACGGCCCGATCCTGGGCCAACCTCACTATTGTTGCCTCGCTTGAGTCCATTGATGCGGCCACTTTGCCAATCCATCTCGTTGGGGTGGCTTCCTCTTTTTCTCTGACCCTCCACCTTACCAAACATGATATCCTTCTCCAGCGACTGGTCCCTCCTGACAGTATGTCCGCAGTCTGAGAAACGCAGGAAAACCTTCTGAACAGTTCTAACACTGGGTGACACCATGAGTTAGAATCACCTCTGTGGCAGTGGGCTCAGTGAATTCCAAACTGGATATCGCAACTTTAGAGCATGAGTTGGGAGTATGGGGGGAGGGGTGGGGAAGGGGTAACTTTTACTTTCATTAGAAGACCACTGACCCACAGGAAAAATCAAATCAATTAAATGGAAATAGAAAACAATTGCATGTATATTATGAAATTTTTGAGTCATATAAAACATCAATCTCTGAAATTTAAGAACATAATACTTAATTTAAATACAGTAAACTTGGGACCATTTTATGTTATGGCCAAGCGATCAAGAGGAGTGAAAAGAAATGCTTTGGGAGAAAGTTGAGGTTCATCGGGCAAGAATGAGTGCTGTGTCAGGCAAAATAAAACTAGATGGTGATAAGAAGCAGAAATAAATAAGGGAGAAAGATTTAGACAATTCTTAGTGTAATCGCAACTATGACAAGAATGCCCGAGTCAGCAGCATTTCCTTATCTTCCCTTCATAGAAGTGTGCTGATTGTGAAGGTCTTGATCCCGCTCCAGTCCACTGCCTGCTTCTTCACATTTTTGTTTCTTTTCTCTCCTCACCCCTTGCCTTGACACAGCTAGGTTTCTGAATATAATGCCCTATGCACTGTATTTCTCTTCCTTTTCTCCCAGGAATGTTTACAATTGAAAAACAAAAACTATTAAAATTCCAGGCCCAGTTTTCCAGAGTTGAAGAGTGACAGAAAATACGTTTGTTGTTGTTTTCAAGTGCCATTGAGGATTTCCAAGGAACACTTAGTGGGTTTGAACTGATGACCTTGCAGTTAGCAATCCCATTCTGATCCTACAGCACCACACCAGGACTCCAATAGAAAATATAGAGGACTTCCGGTTCGGCGATGTAGGATCAGCACTAGGCTGTGAACCACAAGGTCAGCAGTTCAAGCCCACATGCCCACCTACATAGGGTCTCTATTAGTTTGAACTGATTTGACAGCATTTAACAACAACAATATTTTATTCAGGCTTCAGTCATTTATTGAATGCCTATTATATGACTTGACAGCACTTAACAACAACATTATGCAAAACACTCTGCCAAGTGCTTTGCCTTATATTTTATAATCTGTCTGGGTCTCTTTAAGTTGTCTTCAGCCCTTCCTCAAATGCCCCAACTCTCCTGTCCCTGACACAGCACTGCTCTGGCCTCCATCCTTCAGGTCCTGCAAGGAGAAAACAGTCGGAATCTGAGTACTTCGTGTTTGAAAGTTCTCACTCCTCAATTGTCAAATAGCTCCTTCCATGCCTTGTTTATTTCACTATACAATCATTTACTGTATTCCGGCCACTAATAAGTAAAGGACTAGCTCTAGTTCTCTTTAAACATGGTATCTTTGTGCGATATCGTGTAGGAGGTCATCAGTTTACTTCTTGGAACCCTATACAGTGTCACTATGAATGCAAGCCTCCTGGATGGCTATTAACAACAGCAATATATAATAACGGTGCCCAGCAACTCAGCAATTCGGAGCCCATAGCTGAGTTGGACAGTTGCACTGGTGGAGTTGAGCCACCAACCTGGTGAATAGCAGTTAAGTGCTTGTAGGCAATGCCACACCAGCACTCCTTAGGACCTTAGAAAATGATAAACAAAAGTAGGTGAGGAGCTCAACCTGAAGTATGAACAGTAAATGGACTGCTTTGCACAGACCCATGGAGTCATGGTGTGGCACTGCAGGATAATGCACTGGATCACAAGGTCTGTTTGGACCACAATCTCAGCAGTTCAAACTCATCAGCCACTCCTCAGAAAGTCTATACAGGGTGGCTATGAGTAGGAACCAAATCAATGGCACTTAACAATAATTGGGAGCTCATAGTTCCAAGTATACCAGAATATAAATTTCACATACATATTGTTAAGTGCCATCGAATTGGTTCTGACTCATAGCGACTTTGTATAGGATTTCCGAAGAGTGGCATTTTGCTGTTCAAATTGACCTTACAGTCCAGTGCTTATCCTACAGTGCCACACCAGGACTCCCACCCCCTACATAGCAGTTAAAAATACCTTGCTATTATATTATCACATTTTGCATAATTCAGGACAGGTCAATTCATTGTTAGCCAGCTGTTTGCTGTATGTTAGTAGTTGTTGTGAAGTGCCCTCCAGTCAGTTCCTACCCATAGCAACCCTGTGTAGGATTTCCAAGGAACAGCTGATAAGCCTGAACTGCCGACCTCAGCACATTAACCCACAGCCCCACATCAGGACTCCATGTTAATAGTTGTTGTTGTTGTTAGGTGCCATCGAGTCGGTACTGACTCATAGCGACCCTGTGCACAGCAGAACAAAACACTGCCCGATCCTGGGCCAACCTCACTACTATTGCCACGCTTGAGTCCATCGATGATGCTAATAGTAGTTGTTAAGTTCTGTCAAGTCAATTCCGACCCATAGTGACCCTGTATAGGGTTTCTGAGGAGCAGCTGGTGAGCTTGAACCACCAACCTCACGGTTCGAAGCGACTTTGCATGCAGCCCAGTGTATTAGCCCACAGTACTATTAATATAAATTTAGATTGTTATATGCTAAAAGTTGGCTTTTATAAAATAACGGAAGTAGTTATTAAAGGATTAAATAAATGAGGTGGCAGGTTATTAGCTTTTCATATAGTAGTCAATGCAGTAAATGATAAAATATATAAGAGTAAAATCACTCATCTTTTAAAAATAAGCCATCCCTGGTAGCGTAGTGGTTATGAATTGGGCTGTGAACTGCAAGGTCAGCAGTTCGAAACTACCAGCTGTTCTGCGGGAGAAAGATGAGGCTTTCTGCTCCCGTAAAGATTTATAGCCTTAGAAACCCTGTGCAGGGTCACTATGAGTCAGAACCTACTCCACGGCACATAACTACCACCCTAACAAAAGTTAAAGTCAATATAGTAAGGATTTGATAGTGTCAAACACTTGGTTAATCTCTTACCATGCACTAAGGAAACCTGGTGGCACAGTGGTTAAATGCTTGACTTCTTACTGAAGGGTTGGCAGTTAGAACTTATGGAAGAAAGATGTGGCCATCTGCTTCCATAAAGTTTTACTGCCTTGGATACCCTATGGGGCAATTCTACTCTTTCCCATAGGGTGGGCAAGAGTCAGAATCAACTTGATTGATGGTAGTGGGTTAGGTTTTAGGTTTTATCATGCGTTAACTCAACAACCATCCCAGATGGGTGCTACTGTTTTCTTCATTTATAGATCAGGCAACAGAAGTCTTCATGAAGAACTTGAAAATGTTAAGACTGTGTTTAAATCTAGCTCTCTCTTCAGAACTGGAGCATTATTAACATACTTTAAGATTACAGATTGATTTTGATCAGAAATGACTTTATTTTTCAGTTCTTAATCGGTGCAATACTAGGTACTAAGTAAATCCTTCAAGTCATAAAAAAAGAACCACTGTGAAGAGCTTCTTGAAATTTCCTTTTTTATGATACCCTGAATTTTTAGTCCTGTTTATAGTGTTAGTAATGGTTAGTAATTTATGGATGATGAAATTCATTGTACATGTTGTTCCAATTAATCGGGTGTGTTTTCAGGTGGTTGCTGTATATGGGACTTTATCTGATTTGCTTTCTGTGGCCAGCAGCAAACTCGGCATAAAAGCCACCAGTGTGTATAACGGGAAAGGTGGACTGATTGACGATATTGCTTTGATAAGGTAACCTTCACCATTTTATAAGCTGGCAAACTCATAGTATGTCCTTGGCTTCCAGTGCCATGCTGTTTCCCTTAAGCAGTAGTCTAATTACTATTAAGAATATAGGATTTTGGCAAGTGATTGCTTAGAATTTGCTCTATGATGTTTAAATCATTTGGACTAAGACATATTAATAAGCTAGAAAACCATCTCAGTACATTTCAGCATACAGGTAGCTGTATGAACTGTACAGAAAGTCTGTGAGGAATTTCTTTATGTTACTAGAGGTGAATTTAAGACTTGCATTTTTTTTAACTTAAAAATCTAAATGATTTGCCACTTAATTATTATTAAACTAATTTCCTAATGCTTTGAATTTTATAAACATTCCAGAGTACTACTATTGTGAAAATTGTATTAAATGTGATGGAATTTTTAAAAGCGTTAACTTGTCAATTAACACTATAGTAGTGTTTTTGTTTGTGCTTTTTTGTTGCTGTTGTTTTTAATATCTGAGGCTGATTTAATCCATTAAAACAAGTGTGTAGCTCACCTCCCTAAATCCTCACAGGCTCATAGAAGTTTGTAGCAAAGAAGATGGAGAAAGGAACACAAATTAAGTACTGGTTTTACATCAATTATGTAAGATTATGTTGTGATTGCTTTGCCCACGTTATCTCATTGAATTGGCAAAACATGATTTCTTCTATTGGTGGTTTGAAGATACTGATGGCCTAAATTATAATGATATACACCATTTAATCTCTATTTAAAACCAGGTCAGAATGACCTTTCAATATAGTATATACTGCCTTAGAAGTTAATCATTTCCAGTCCTTGTGTTTTACAGAAGAGGGAACTAAGCACTTGGGAATTTAAGTGACTTACTCAAGGTCATACCATTTAATAATTGATCTGTGTTCATGAAGTAGAAACAAATTTTCCTTCTAATGTAAAAAAGTTAAGTGGAATAGTGAGCAAACAGGTATAAACTACATTTCAAATCCAAATAAATTAAGAGACTTTCTTGTCTTTTTAATATCCATCTCCTAGCTTCTTTGTGTTTCTATGGGTATTTGAGTCTCATTGTTGAATAATATACATCAACTTAATTTTCTCCTAAACAAACACAGACTGTTCTAAGAAAATCTCGATGTGTTTCTATGATTTCTTATAGGAAATAAAAACTTCTATAGCATAGAACATAGCTAACTCCTTCTGAGCTGTAAAATATATGCCTAATAGGTTGTGCTTCTCAGCTCGTTTATTTATACTAATGGCGGGATGGGGGCAGGGGCATGTAAATGATGAATTATGCCCAACCAGTTATGTTTGGGTATGTAAATACATACTGAGTGTACAGCAATGGAGTGTTTGTAGGAGAGTCACTTTTCTTAGATTTAGTATGGAAATTGACATTACAAGCATGCAGCAGTTCTGGATTTGGGAAAGAGTAAAAAGAAGAGCAGGCTATATCTTCTATCATATTCTTTGAGCATAATAGTAAATTCTTCAGTTGTGGATTTTATTTTCAGAAAAATACTTGATCTTTTTTTAATTTAAATCCAGAGATATTTAGGTCAGGAGGTTGAACAGAACACTATAAAGTTAGATAGTCAGCTTTTTTTGCATTATATATAGTTTTATAGCAAAACCTATCTTCTACAAAATTCAAAAGAATAGTTACTATAGTCAGTAGGTAATTAATGTGATTTCTAGGTTTTGATAGTGGCTTTTAAAATTTTTATTTCCCCAGGGATGATGATGTTTTGTTTGTGTGTGAAGGAGAACCATTTATTGGTAAGTGATTTACCTCTAAGAGCCAATTTTGTCTACCAAAAGGTAAAATGATAAATCCTTTACATGGGATTATTAAGCCTAACACTAAAAAGAATCTTGTGACAGTAACTCAAATCTTCTTTCTTCTTTTGGTTTTGTGTGTTTAAGTAAAAAAAAAAATTCAAAATTTTTTTTTCACATGGATACCTGGTTGTTTACTTGTTTCATGTTTCTGATATATCTCTTGTAGATAACATATTGGTGCATTCTGTTTTCTTATCTATTCTGCTCTTTATTTCACTTGACTAGTATACTTAATCCATTAACCCTGTGGGTTAATGCACCAGATTGCAAAGCCGTTTGAACTGCAAGGTCAGTGGTTCAAGCTCACCAGCTGCTCCTCGGAAACCCTATACAGGGTCACTATGGGTCAGAACTGACTCGATGGCACTTAACAACAATAACAAAGGGACCGACTGGTGAAGGTGAAGAGGGACGCTCCCTAAGGGAAAAGCAGTTACTGGTGGGAAGTAGATCCCTTGCCCAGGGAGTTCCTGAAATTGACCTTGACAAGAGTCTGAGAGGCTGCCTGGCCTTACTGCTGTCATACTGTCACGGTTTTCCCTGGTCCCTCTTGCTCTCTTGGGTCTAAAGAATTAGTCCCACCAAGTCACCGTTTCTCAGTAGAACTGGTAGAATTGAGGGCATAGTTTAAGTCAAAGTGAGAGTACACTTCAAAGAGAGAAGCAAGTCTGTCTCCCAAGTGGAGTAGACCCTTTGGGATTGGGGTGCACGGGGGCTTTTAAAGGTATGGGGTCTCTTCCTCTTTAGAGTAGTATGTTGAGTATTTATCAATTTTTAGTAAAGGGGCGCAGGCTTATTGGAAATGGAGTGCTTTCTTCATGGGTTGTGTGCCTGTGGCTGTTTCTGTTAGCGTTTCAGGTCTTGAGATCTTTTTCTTTTGTCTCCAGGCTGTTCTTTTCAGTGTAATTATTCTTGTTGGACTAGAGATGTCCTTCCCCCTTCCTTAATCCCTGTTTAGTAGGAGGGGACTCAGGGTAAAGGAGTGGATATGAAACCAGAGGTAGAGGGGCCTAGGGCCCAGGGGTTCTAACCTGTCCCCGACAAGATGGGGTGGGTTTGGAAGCTAATATGGCTAAAATGTATCATTACCATGGGAGAGGTGCCAATGGCTTTTGCCTAGGACCAGCCAAAAATGTTGATATAGATGTAACTATGACATCTTTCCCTCAAACCATCAAATTAGGTGTTTGCCAAGTTTTATCCTGTGGGAAATTGGAGGACCCAGTGCTTATCTCTATTATAGCGAGCCAAGAGTAGCAACCCAGATCTATGGATAGGTGCCCACATCCCTAGATGGGACCCTGTGAGTCAATTTGTTTTCCAAATCATTACTTCTCAGAATTCAACGCCAAACCCAGACCTTTTTCCTGTTATCTCCCCCTACGGAAATGTTTAAGAATGACCCTGAAAAAGTAGAAGTGATTGAGGTAAAAGACCTAAGACAAACATTAGAAGTAGAAACAGAATATAGGAGGAGTGTGACTACATGGGTAGAATGGATTAAAAGTCATTGTCATGTTTGTGCTACGCCTGAGCCCATTGCTGTAGCCACTGTATCAACCCATCTCATTGAGGGTCTTCCTCTTTTTCTCTGACCCTCCACTTTACCAAACATGATATCCTTCTCCAAGGACTGGTCCCTGCTAACAATATGTCTGAAGTATGAGACATGAAGTGTGACCATCCTGGCTTCCATTCTGTTTGTTCTTTTGGCAGTCCATGGTACTTTCTATATTCTCCTCCAGCACTGTAACTCAAATGCATCAATTCTTTTACAGTCTTCCTTATTCACTGTGCAACACGCATATGAGGTTATTGAAAATACAATAGCTTGGATCAGGCACATCTTAGTCCCCAAACATAAATCTTTGCTTTTCAACACTTTAATGAGGTCTTGTGCAGCAGATTTGCTTAATGCAATAATACATCGTTTGATTTATTGACTGCTGCTTCCATGAGTATTAATGGTTAAGCTGAGCGAAATGAACTTGTAGCAACTCTGTATGGGATTTCCAAGGAGCAGCTGGTGAGTTTGAACTGCCAACCTTGTGGTTCACATTGACCTTGCGGTCCAGTGCATTATCCCACAGTGCCATACCAGGACTCCTCCACTTATAGGGATGCTGTTTATTGGTCCAGTGGTATGCTCCATTTTATACTGGTACAAAGTGTTGATGTTGAAAAGTCTGATGACAGTCATAATTTTTTACTGTCATAAGTCAAGTATTTTATGTAGGCCATCCAAAGGATTTTTGTCGTTCTTAAAAGTACAATAATTCTAGTTGCTTTGTCCAGGTGTTCTGGGTTGTTCTTGGATGATTTTCTCTTCTGAGTTCTCTCACATCATTTTCTGAAATGTGTAATTTTAGTTTATTTTGCTCTCTCGTATCTTGTTCCTTTACTTACTTTTGCATATTGTGAAATATTAGGTACTTGCCCATATTTCTGTCCGGCACATTTTCATTATCTATAGGAATGCAATTCTGCTCATTACTCTTTTGTTCTTTTCATAATTTTGTATTGGTTTTGGTCTCAGTCCTTCTCTTTTATTCTGTTTCATATGAAAGTAATTTTTCTTAACTTGAAGGCATGCTGCCTTAGAAAACCTTTTATAGTTTTGTAACTCTAGGGTTCCCTTTTCTGTGTTTTTTGTGATACATTTTTTAAAACATGAGACTCAATTTCTACAAAATTCTGCTTCTGTTAGAATTTTTAGGTGGACTCCTTTTTTTTTTTTCTTTCTTTGTTTCTTTTTAACCTCTGCCCTGGTCCACTTGAATTCTGTTCCCAGCATTTATCCTCATCATGATGCTTTGTCTTAGAAAGGAGTTTGGCTGTTTGGCTTCGAGAGTTCATTTGTGGCCCTTTCAGATTTTACTGCAAACTCCATTCGCATCATCCCACTTTGGACGTGTTGGACGTGTGCCTCTGCCATTAATGTGACACCAGTTCTCTTTCCCACAGCACTCTCTACTTATCCAAGTGTGATCATTCATTGCAGTGGCCACACACAACGCAGATACCATACTCACAGTTACAGGCTTTGTTAGGAAAGTGTATTTAGTTTAAAGTGCAGGATCAGAAAATCTAGGACACAGTCTGCCTGTCAGGACAGCTGCTTCTCAGCCATGCCCACAGGTAGATTTGTCTCTGGCCCTCATCCCTGCTCTGGTAGTGTGACAAAGTTATTTTAGAGTTGCTGATAAATTTTCACAGGGCACATATTCTACAATCATCAGTCTTACCCCAAAGGCACTCAGGTCAACAAACCTAGCTCCCCTAATCTTAATTGAAGGCACCCCATTCTGCTAGCAAGACTTGCCCAAAGTCATTCAGCTATACTTGCTCCGTGGGCTGGGAAGTCCACCACTCTGGTTCTTGGTTCTGTTGCTCCTCTGTCACTCGTACAGTGTTACAGCTTTCTGACCCTGTGTCAAGGAAGTTCAGTGTACAGGGATCTCAGGGTCCAAAGGACATAGTCTACGCCTGGCTCTAATTTGCTCTAGTGAGATTGCCCACTCCACTTCTGAGATGGCTCATTTTATACCCATGCTGGTTTCAAGCCTTTGCAATTACAATAAACTCTTTTATCCGTACCTGAATCATGTCACCTTATCAGTATCTTCCCCTACCTTCTCTTACCCAGATCTACCAGGAAAAGAGTCATTTGGTGGGAATTGTAAATACTAAGGCTAGAAGAGACATTCTAAATACTTTACCACACCACAGTCTCCTACTCTAAGTCTGCTCTTTTCAAATACACTTGCTGAACTTTAATGTGCATATCTGGATTACTTTGGAAGTCTCACATTCATCACGTGTCCTTTTGCTTCATCCTGTTTTTTCTTGGCAGATGTTGATGTTTGTGGGAATACCTTATCACCTGTTTTGTTTTAAATGCTGTCTTTGAGTTTGAGTTTTACTGTCCTAGTATTTCTGGTATGGTTTTGTATGTGTGCTCAGTTTTAAAAATGTTAACTGCTGGCTTTCTAGAATTTCCTATCAATATTACTTGTATTATTTTCTATATGTTATCTCTAGATCCTCAAACAGATTGTAAACCCCATGAAGGACCATCAGGATCCCACACAGACTGGCTAACATTAAATGTTGGCGGGCGGTACTTTACAACTACACGGTAGGTGTGTGTATGTCTGTGTGTGTTACAGAGAAAAACTATAGGTGCTGTTTGTGTTCTCCCTTCAATTTACTGATTTCCTTAAATGACATTCAGATGTGTCCTTTATCACCACCCCTATTCAATATAGTGTTGGAAGACTTAAATAGAACTATAAGGCAATAAAGGGAAATTAAAGGCATCCAAATTGGCAAAGAAGAAGTAAAATTTGCAGAAGATATCCTAAACCTAGACAGTCCTAAACACTCAGCAAGGAAATTATTGGAACTCATTGAAAGCTTCAGCAAAATGGCAAGGTACAGTATCAGTGTACAGAAATCAGTTGGATTTCTATACACTAATAAAGACAGTTCTGAAAAAGAAATTAAGAAAGGAACACCATTTACAATAGCCAACCAAAAGATGAAATACTTAGGTATAAATCTAACCCCAGAAGCAAAAGACCTATAAAGAAAACTGTAATATATTACTACAAGAACCAAAAGAGACAGAAATGGAAGAATATATCATGTTGATGGATAGAAAGACTTAGCATTGTGAAAATATCAACACTATCCAAAGCAGTCTGTATATATAACACAATCCCAGTCCAGATTCCAACATCCTTCTTTAAGGAAATGGAAAAAAATGATCACTAACTGTATGGAAAGGAAAGAGACCTCAGATAAGCAAGCACCGTTTAATAACAAAGTTGGAGGCCTTTCACTCCCTGATCTCAAAATTTACTACACAGCCACAGTGGTCAAAACAGCCTGGTACTGGTACAACAAGAGAGGTACATAGATTTGAGAACCCAGAAGTAAATCCATATGCAAAGGACCAAAGCACATTAAATGGGGAAGAAATCATCTATCTCTTCAACACATAGTGCTGGCAAAACTAGAAATCCATTTCAGAAAAATGAAACAAGACCCATATCTCACAGCATATGCAATAATAAACTCAACATGGATTAAAGACCTAAATGTAATGTAAAGCCTAGAACTATAAATATCATCAGTGCAAAAATAGGGACAAACTTAGGGGCTCTATTACGTGGCATAAATACACTATTAAACATTACTAAAAACACACAAACAGTAGAAGACAGAATCAATGACTGGGACCTCCTAAAAATTAGACACTTAATGTGCATCAAAAGATTTCTCCAAAAGAGTAAAGGGGAAGCCAATAGACTGGGAAAAATTTTTTTGCAATGGCTTATCAGACAAGGGACTGATCTCTAAAATTTATAGAAAACTGCAATACCTCTACAAGAAAAAAACAACCCAACTGAAAAATGGGCACAGGATATGAACAGACAGTTCACCAAAGAAGACATTCAGGCATCCAACAAACATAAGAAAAAATAATCACGATCATTAGCCGTTAGGGAGATGCAAATCAAAACAACGATGAGATATCCTATCACACCAGCATTAAATCACAAAGTTCAAAAAAACAAAACAACAAATGCTGGTGGGACTGTAATGGTTCAACCACTGTGTAAAAAGGTGTAGTGTAGTATTTCCTTAGAAAGTTTGAAGTAGAAATATCACTGTTGCTTAGTCTCCTTGAGTCATTTCTGACACACAGTGACCTGTATAAGTTTTCCAACGAGCGGCTGGTGGGTTTGAGCCACCAACCTTGTGGTTAGCAGTCCAGTGCTAATCCTGTAGCAACATACTAGAAATACCATATGACCGAGCAATCCCTCTCCTTGGTGTATATATCCACAAGAAATAAGTAAGGGCCAGGACACAAGTAGATTTATGCACACTGATGTTTGTTGCAGCACTATTTACAATAGCAAAAAGATGGAAACAGCCTAAATGTCCATCAATGAAACAATAGAGAAATAAACTTTGATGCGTACATACAATGGAATACCGTGCAGTATTGAAGAATAATGTGAAACACCTCCTAGCATGGATGAAGCTGGAAGACATTATGCTGAGTGAAATAAGTCAATCACAAAAGGACAAATATTGCATAAGACCACTATTGTAAAAACTTGAAGATTTTCATGCCAGAAGAAACATTCTTTGATGGTTAGTGGGAGGGAAGGGAGAGTAATTTACTGGCTAGAGGGTAGACACATGTTAACTCAGATGATAGGGAGGACAGTATAGAAGAGGGAGGTTGGCAGAATGGTGAAGACAGGTGAAGACACAGGGAGGAGGTATGCAAGGGCTGAAAGAGATAGAGGGTAAATAGTGATATATACATAACCTTGAAACAGCATTGTTCTGTGTGTAGATAAATGGACAGACATAGATTGAATGAGTATGGGAAAAAGAGTAGGATATATATCCCACAAATCAATGAGTGTGAAAGAAGGTGTATTTGTACCTGGGTAATCACAGGGAAGGAATAGGACCACTGTACCTTAGAGGGGATTGCAGTCATTGAGGTGAAGCAAAGTACATGATTTGGTGAATATAAAATGGATTATCTTATTTATAAATCTTTACTTAATTCACAATTTTTTAAAAATGAGAGAAAAAACAATATTCAAATGCTGGTTAAATATGCACTGTAGTCTGAAAGCCTTTTTAGAAAGACTTAAGGTAGAAAATGGTTTTTCTAAGTCATTGCAGCCAATGCATGAAAAGCATGCTTTCTGTGTTTGAGAACATGCTTTTTAAATATCAAGTAATATACATATTTACACATGCTGAAGTTAACAGTATCCAAATATATAGAAAACATAAATGCTTATACTAAAAGGATCTGAAAAAATGTTAGTTTTGAAGATCAGGAATATTTTTATATAATAGGTTGCTAGAAAAATACATTAGTATTTAAATTAAAGGAAGCTAAAACAAGATTTAAATCAAAGGAAGTACCAGATTAGAAGGGATTTTTGATAAATGGCAACTTACTGCACGTTTTTGTTTCCCAGCATTATTCCTACCAGGTTATAGCATGCATCTTTTTGAGAGAGCAGCTGGGATCAAGTATACTCTTGACTTAAATATGTTTTTTATAAAGACAAATGGAGAAATCAATTTTTTTCCCTGAATTCTTAGGAGCACTTTAGTGAATAAAGAACCTGACAGTATGCTGGCCCACATGTTTAAGGACAAAGGTGAGTAAAGCATCTTGTTTTCAGATTTTGTACGGTCTATTTGTGTCTGTATTAACTGTTTAAACTCCTGTCCTTTACTCTTGAGTGATTATCAGTAATTTTTGCAAATGTAAAAATTTACAAAATTTTCATTCTTTAAATTTCTAACTTTGTTTTCTGTTTACTGGGGGCTTTGTTCATTTTAATGGTAACACAGACGTCTGGGGAAATAAGCAAGATCATAGAGGAGCTTTCTTAATAGACCGAAGTCCTGAGTACTTTGAACCCATTTTGAACTACTTGCGACACGGACAGCTAATTGTAAATGATGGCATTAATTTATTGGGTGAGTTTTTAATATAATTTCTCGCATTTAAAAAAAAATCTTTTCATTATGACTGGAGTGAAGGTTTACAGACAAGATCATCAGTTTTACAGCCAACAATCATGCTTTGTTTCATCTCAGTGATTATAGTCCCTTCCGTGCAACATTTATCCCTGTGATTACCATGTACAAATCCTCTTTACAACTCTCATATCTTTGTGATTATATATATATATATATGTATATGGTAGTGGTAATGTGCCGTGGAGTCGGTTTATAACGACCCTGCACAGGGTTTCTGAGGCCTCATCTTTCTCGTGTGGACGGCTGGTAGTTTTGAACTGCTGACCTTAAGGTTTTTAGCCCGATTCGTAACCACTACGCTACCAGAGGATATATATATATATATATATTTATTTATATATCCTCTCATACCCATTCAGCCAGTGTCTCTGCCCATGAATCTACACACAGAACACTGCTGTTCAAGTTTGTGTATATATCACTCTTTACCTCTGTCTCCTTTAGTCCTTGAATACTTCCTGTGCCTTCACCTATCGTCGTCGTTCTTCTTCCAGCCTCCCACTTCTTGTATATATTGCCCTCCCCATCACCCAAGTTAACATGTGTCTACCCTCCCACCCCTGCTAAACATCAAAGAATGGTTTTTTTAGCATGAAAATCTTGAGTTTTTACAGTAGTGGTTTCATGCAAGATCTGTCCTTTTATGATTGACTTATTTCACTCAACATAATGTCCTCTAGGTTCATCCATGTTTTGAGGTGTTTTGCAGATTGGCCATTATTCTTTAGCATTGTATAGTATTCCATTGTGTATATGTACCAGAGTTTATCTTTCACTGGTGGACATTTAGGTTGTCTCCATCTTTTTGCTATTGTGGCTAGTTCCTCGATGAACTATATATGTGCATATATCTATTCTTTTCCTGGCTGTTATTTCTTCTGGATATATACCAAGTAGTGGGATGCTAGGTCATGCAGTGTTTCTATTTCCTACTTTCTGGGGTAGCACCTCACCGTTTTTCACAGTGAATGAACCATTTTACAGTACCACTAGCAAAGAAGGAAGATTCCAGATTCTCCACACCCTCGCCAGCATTTGTTGTTTTCTGTTTTTGTGTTTTTTTTAACTTTGCTATTAATGCTGGTGTGATACAATATCTCATTATGTTGATTTGCATCTGTCTAACTAATGATCGTGAACATTTCTTATGTTTGTTGGATGCCTAACTGTCTTCCTCAGTGTGAAGTGTCTGTTCATGTCCTATGTCCAGATTTCAATTGGGTTGTTGTTTTTTTGTTTTTTTTTTTAATAGCTTTTTTATATAAAACTTTATATATAGCTTTATATAAAGTTTTGAGATTAGTCCTTAATAAAAAAATATTTTTTTCCCAGTCTGTTGCCTCCCTTCTTAACCTTTTGGCAAAATCTTCTGATGCATGTAATTGTCTAATTTTTAGGAGGTCATAGTCATCTATTTTGTCTTCTGCTGTTTGTGTTTTCAGTAATGTTTAATAATGTATTTATGACAAGTATTAAAGCACCTAAGTTTGTCCCAGTTCCTCACATTTTTGTAAGCTTAGGATGTTTACTTTATTTTCACTTACCTAGTTGTTGTTAAGTGCCGTCAAGTCAGTTCTGACCCATGTTGACCCTGTATAGGGTTTCCTATGAGCAGCTGGTGAGCGTGAACCACCAACCATGCATTTCAAACTGACTTTGCAGCCCAGCTCATTAACCCACAGCACCACACCAGGACTCCTCTTACGTAGTTGTTGTTGTCGTTGTTATGTGCCGTGGTGTCGGTTCCGACTCATAGTGACCCTGCATAGGGTTTCTGAGGCTGTAAATCTTTATGGGAGCAGAAAGCCTCATCTTTCTCCTGCGGATCAGCTGGTAGATTTTATTTATTTATTTAATGTTTTACTGTGAATTATGTGGTAGTTTACATGGGAGAACATTAGCTTTACATTCATCCTATCATATATCATTTCATTGCCATGGTTACAATTCCCTCCATGTATCATCAACCAACCAAAGGGTATACCCTGCAAACCTGCCCCCCGTTTGGTCATCAGCATACAGCCCCTCTGCCTCTCTGGGTCTAGAGTTCCCAGCTGCTCCATCTCTTCACATCTTCGTCTCTGCTTCCATCTCTGGCGTCACTGCTTCTCTGGTTAGAGTCCTGCACTCAATCTTCTCACTTGATGGTCCCAGGGACCTCCGCTCCTGGACTGCAAAGTTAATCACTCCCTTCCTTTTCTACAAAACATCTATCTTTACGTTTCCAACCCTCACAGTCAGCCCTGATAGCAATTATTCACTATTGTGCCACATGAGTACTATCCCCAACTCTTTTCATCAGCCCCACCCAGACAGGTTGGATACTACTTAGTGGAGATTCTACCTTCCTCCACACCCTCTGGATCTAGGCTCCCTCTTGAAAGCTTGTAAACCAGTCACTTCTTGCCTTTTTAGCCCTCCCATTTTGGGTAGCCAATGTCCAAGTTGCCCATCCCTGTCTACTCTGTGTATGGAGGGGCTGGGGGGGTTGGAATGATCCTTGCTGTAAAGATTTGTTCCCTCTTTTGAGCTACTGCATCCATAAGTGTAGGTCAAGTTCATCAAATTGTATCAGATTACTCTTTTTTCCCTCTTAATTTCTTCTTCTAGTTGAACTCTAATCATCCGATCATTGAAGCCAGGTCAAGTGGGTATTATCTGCAAGTGTGGGTGTTCTTATGCATATGCCCTCTCTTCTTATCAGCTGGATGCTTCACTCTCCACTCTAGTCCGCTGTGGCTATGTCACTGACCTAGTAGTATTTCTTAAATCGAACGTATATCTTTTTCATTTCTTTGTTTTCATTATAAGTACTCATACATTTGTTTTTTCACAAATATATGAATATATATAATTTTAGAAGATGTTTTCGGTGTGGCACTGTAGGATAAGCACTGGACTACTAACTGCAAGGTGGGTGGTTCAACTCGGAAACCCTATAAAGGATTACTGTGAGTCGAAACTGACTTGATGGCACTTAACAACAAAAACAACACATAGAAAGAGATACACATGGGCATAGGTAGATATCTTTCCTTGTATAGATATGTGTCTAACCCATAAATTTCAAATTTAGATTCTAAGTAGATTTGCATTTCAACACAAGGGAGTTTAAAGGATTTTCTTTGTTTTAAAATAGAATTTTGGTATTGCTTTGGCTTCAAATTATGGACCTTCCCATTAGGTTGAGCATTAGTGTGTTCAAAAGGGACCATCATGCTTTTAAATCCTAAATCTGGATTAGAGTCTTGACTGTATAACTTCTTGTTGTTGTTAAGTGCCGTTGAGTTGGCCCGACCCTTAGCAACCTTGCATAGGGTTTTTGAGGAGCGGCTGGTAAGCTTGAACTGCTGACCTTGCAGTTCATACCAACTTTGCCACCCAGTACCACACCAGGACTCTACAACTTACTATGTTTAGCTTGATGAAAGTCATGTTATGTCTCTGAGCCCCCTTTGGAAAGTGGATTTTAAAATTACCTTCGTCCCTGATTCTTATGAAGGTTGATGGGGATGATCAGAGATGAAAGTCCTTATAAAGCAAACATTGCATATTCAAGCTCAGAGACCTCCCAGTGACTGACCTGGGTCTGATGTTGGCACTTGAGGAGTGGTGGGGAGTGTGGGAATCTCAGATACACATTCCTGCTCAGCTTCAGCAAATGTGTGCCTCATGGGAATGTGGACACAGGATGCCAGAGCCTTGATTTTAAAGAAAAGCTATAAATCTAAACTGTTAAGTGACATTTTTGTGTGTTTTGAAAACACTACCAGCCAAACAAGGAATGCTGGTAGCATAGTGGTTATGAGTCAGGCTGCTAACCTCAAGGGTCAGCAGTTCGAAAGTATCAGCTGTTCTCTGGGAGGAAGAACTTCCGTAAAGATTTACAGCCTCAGAAACCCTATGCAGGGTCGATATGAGTCGGAACCAACTCCATGGCAATCCGAAGTCCTGGTGGGGCACTGTGGGTTAATGCACTGGACTGCAAAGTCTGTTTGAACCGCAGGGTCAGCGGTTTTAGCTCACCTCACGTGTAGAAAGTTAAAATAAAAAATAAAAAAAGAGGCAACGAGAATAGTGATGGTAGAAATAGAGAACAGTGATGGAGCTAGCTGAAAGGGTCAAATAATAACTTTTATTTTTTGGTAATGGGTAAACTTTAAAAGGAATATAAACATTAATGGAAGTTCTTAAGTAGTTTGCATCTGCATGTGACTTACAGAAATTACAAACTGGCATTCTTCAGACTAATTCTCATGTGTTAACTCATAGCGACCCCGCATAGGGTTTTCACGGAAAGCTAGAACTACTAAAAAGTTAATATGGGCGGTACTTCATTTAGCTCTTTCATTCCTCTCGTTTTAATTTCTCCTTGTATCCTTCGTGACTTCATATCCTCCCTGGCAAAAAGTAACGTTTCAGCTGTAGATTCATATTCTTTCAGATCTTTGCATTCCTAAACTATTTTGAATCCTTCTTTATTTTTCCTTTTGTACATTTCTCCAGCATTTTTCTTGTTTATTCAGTTGTTCAGTCAGCAGAACTGTCTACTGGATTCATTTTATAAATAAAGCACTGCTTCGATTAGTGCAATTTCCATCCAAACTCTTCACATTACCTACAAGTTGCCCCAGGTAACTGTGTGTTTTCAAATTATCTACAGTGGTTTACTTATCTTCTTCCCATTTATTTCTTGCTTTCTGTAAGTTGTGCTTGAATCAGTGAAATTTTTTAAAATTTACTACCTTCATTTCCCTGCTTCATTTCTTCCATTTATTCTTCCCTTGTTTTCAGAACCCTCTCCCTTGAATTTAATCACCCAGCTTCCCTTTCTTCCAACGCAATCCCACCTCAATCCAATGCTTCTTCAAAGTACTTTTTGCTCATCTTAATATTTTTCTTTAAGCTGACATGACTTTCTGAACCCATTTGATAATAGTGACAAGAGAATGGTCTTCAGTGTCAGAAAACATAATTTAATAATAATCATGTTGTTAAGTGTCAGCAAGGCAGTTCTGACTCATAGCAACCCTGTATAGGGTTTCCAAGCAGTGGCTGATGGATTTGAATTGCCGACCTTTTGGTTAGCAGTCCAGTGCATATTATAGCAATTATTTATTGAAGTGCCAGACATTATCCCAGATAATAATCACAATCTCTTTCTCTAATGACTTCTGATAACTTTATGGGGAAAATATTACTATTTCCACTTCACAAATGTAGAAATATAATTTGGGAGGGAGTTTAAGTAACTTCTCTAAGACCTAAATGATAGTAACGTGTTGTTGTTAAGTGCTGTCAAGTCGGCTCTGACCCATAGCAACCCTATATAGGGTTTCTGAGGAGCAGCTGGTGAGCTTGAACCACTGACTTTGCGGTTCAAAGTGACTTTACAGTCTAGTGCATTAATCCACAACACCACACCAGGACTCCATTAGTTGGGTTGATATCAGAGACTTCCCAGTGACAGACTTGGGTCTGATGTTGACACTTGAGTGGTGGAGACTGTGGGAATCTCAAGTACATGTTCCTACTCAGCGTCACCAAATGTATTGTGCCTCATGGGAATATGGACATAGCACATTCTGGTTCTAGTAGAAAATACACTAAATATTGCTTCTACTTGTCAACTAATTGTTCTCCATGACTATCCTTTATTTATAAGAGTTTTTGGAAGTTCTTTAAGGTTCAGATTTAAAACTTAAGAAGATATCCTCACTACATTCTGTGAGAGGTTCTGATTTAATCAGAAGATCTCAGCAAACAGAGAGTTAAGACCCACTAGAACCACTTTCATGGTAGGGACAGATGTCAGTCACAGTTTGACTGCCTGTTCATGAAGAATCCAGGGATGGATCCTTTTTGGTTTTGAACTGGAAGCCTTATGCCAGAGTGCATACCTAAGTGGTAATATATCTATATCAGGTGACCTTTGTTTCATAAGTGGAATACTAGAGGTGGAGAAAGACCTTATTCTTTCCAAGTAACTGCTTGTGATTTTTTCCATATCTGTTATGTTTCTCTATCAGTGTTTCCCCTGTGTATTTGTTACCCTTATTAATTTGAACCATTTTAAAGGGAGGGACTGCCTTCTATTTTCTTTGTAATTTCTGAGTCCTAATTTTTTTATTGTGAATTGAGTAAAAGTTTACAGGGCAGATCATCAGTTTTACATTCAACAAATCATATATTTTGTTTCATTACAATGATTATAATCCCTTCCATGTACTATCAGTAACAGTATTTCCCTCTATTCATTTTAACTTTTTTTTTTTTAAACACTCAGGCATATATAATAATTTAAACCACCAAAGGGCACATTCTGCAAGCCTGCCTCCTGGTCGCCAGCTCTCAGTCCCTCTCTTTCTATGGATCTAGAGTTCTCAGCTGCTTCCTCTCTCCATGTCCCCATCTCTGCCTCCATCTCTGGTGTTGCTGTTTCTCTGGATAAGGTCCTGCGTTCTGCTTCTGCTCTTCTCCCTTGATGGTCCTAGGGTTCTCTGTTTCTGGACTGTAAGATTAACTACTCCCCCATTTTTGTTACAAAACTTCTATTCTACCTTTACAATTGTGACAGTCGCAATTAGTCATGATAACAATTACTATTGAATCATAGGAATCTTATCCTTATCTCTTTTTGCCAGAATCATCTAGACAAGGTGGAAACTATTCAGTGGGAGCTCTGTCTTCCCCCACACACTCTTAAACTAAATTTCCTATTGAAACTTTGTAAGCCAGTCACTTTGAGCCTTTATCCTACTAATTTTTGTTCGGTAAATTCAGCCCACTAAATGACTAAGATCTATACTTGAAAGACCATGTATACTAAATGTATTCCCATATCCTCTGATGAAAATGTTTATTAACAGACATGAAGAAGTAAGTGTATTACGTCTCCTAGAGACTGGTTTTTTTTTTTTTATTATTACATCGTACTAAATTAAGCAAAGTAAATGATAAATGAAATCCCTTTTATCATCTAAAATATTTTTTAAAAGTCCAGTTCTCCTATAGCAGGTTCCTAAATTATATTTGGAATCCTGGTGTGGTGCTATAGGATAAGTGCTGGACTGCTAACCGCAAGGTTGATGGTTCAAACCCCCAGCCACTCCTCAGAAACCCTGTACAGGGTCACTGTGAGTCAGAACTGACTCAGTGGCACTAACAACAACAACAATTATACCTGTCATATCTGTTGTGAATCTGGCTTATTTATTTCCATAAAGTTATTCAACAGAAGAAAAGATTATCTATGACAAATTTATTCCGATCTGCTCCGTTAAAAAGTCAATGAAATGTTAGGATTAGATAAACTAATCATTTTTATTGGATTCACAATCACATCACTTAATGATATTATGCATATGTGATATTAAAATTTCTTGCCTGTGGCCTATTGAAAGTAATTACTAGAAATAATTATGAAATATGGAAGGCTTTCATTCTAATTCATTAGTTTTCTACATTTTCCTTTACAGTATGTAAACTATATAGAAACGACTCTCTGCTTTACATATTTTCACATATTCTCTATGTCTTGCTTCCAACATGAAGTACTTTCTTGTATGTTAACTGATGGCTTCCTTACTCATTTTCAGTTCCTTTATGAGAATTTAACATAAAGAATTTTATCAACACCAGAAGAATCATCTTCTATAAAAGTCAAATCATTTTTATTCTGACAGGTGTGTTAGAAGAAGCCAGATTTTTTGGTATTGACTCATTGATTGAACACCTAGAAGTGGCAATAAAGGTAAATCTCTTTTTACACTAGCAAATATTGCATTCACTGTAGTTGTCTCCCAGAATGCCCCACTAATATGTTATTGTCTTGTCCAAGAATTCTCAGCCACCGGAGGATCATTCACCAATATCCCGAAAGGAATTTGTACGATTTCTGCTCGCCACTCCAACCAAGTCAGAATTACGTTGCCAGGTAGTGAAAACAAACATTAACATGGGTTATTTATACCTGAAAATCTGCGATGATTGTATATTTTTTAGGGGCTTGTTTTGGTTTTCCTTGCTTTGTTTTTTCATGAAATATATCATTAAATTATGGGGAATAACACTGATTTAATCCCAAAAAGTTAGTAAAAAGACATAAAAGCCTTTTCTGTCGCCTGTGCCTCACGTACCAATATTTGAGTCCTATTTGGAAATTGCAGCAATTAAAATAACAACTCAGTTGTTTGTGCAGTTGCTATGCATGGTTAGTCAGTGGCAGGTACTGTTAATTATTTTAGAATTAAAGATTTTTTTAAACCAAAATTCTTACTTTCTTAAATAAGACTCTCTTGAATTACCGTATTAGCTAAAATGACATTTATCAGGAGATAGGTGACTAACAGAGATGCCGCTTCAGATACTGCTGCACATAAATGCAGTATAGCCAGATGACATTCTAATATTTACAAGGGTGCTTCAGAAAGTTCATAGAAAAATTCTATTCATCATTTAGTTCTATTTCTCCACTAACTTTTGAAGCCCTCTCATATATAAATAGAGTTTCTTCAGGAACCCATTAAGGATATTTATTTTATGTTTCTGAGTTCCATTTGATTATGTTTTGTAATAAACGCCAACTGAGTGAACTGCCAATTGCATCTTAAAAAACTTGATGGTTAGTTACACTAATTAAATTTTGTACGCTCAGAGGATTTAAGTATTGTGACAATTTGTGTTTTTTAATTTTAGGGTTTAAACTTCAGTGGTGCTGATCTTTCTCGTTTGGACCTTCGATACATTAACTTCAAAATGGCCAATTTAAGCCGCTGCAATCTTGCACATGCTAATCTCTGCTTTGCAAATCTTGAACGAGCCGATCTCTCTGGATCAGTGCTTGATGTAAGAATCAATTTTGGGTAAAAGAGAAAACTAGATCTTTATAGTATAACAGATCAGGAGTTTTGTCTCCTACTGCAGGATTTACTTCAAAAGATAATTCAGTTAAGTTGATGATAAAACTGAAGGCTCTGAAAGTGAAATGGGTTGGTTTTGTTTCTTTGATAGCCTTATTAAACCTGGAGCTGAAAGGATTATCAGCTAACAGGAAATTAATCTTGAAATTAGATCACAGTCTCCTCAACAGAGGGGGTAAACATCAGGATGTTTCCAGTGAAGTATATTGATGAAGCTGAAAAGCACCTCTGAAATCTTATATTCAACCTTGTTACTGGAATGGGAACATATTATTTACTCTGTAGATGCTTGGCAAAGAAAGATATTTTCACATGAAGCTGGTATGGCGTCAGTCTGTGGAAGTTAGTATCTCAGTGGTCCTCTCCATGTATATGTGTGTGTGTGTATGCATTTATTTTTAAACATGTCTATATATGTATGCATTTATGTTAGTTTCCTGTTCCATTTGGTATTAAAGGACATACGCAGCACCAATGGTGAGATCTAGACCAAGACCTGTGTGTGTATAACTGCTAAATTAACTGTGTCTAACAGAGTACCTTGCTTTAGCTAGTCATTTGTTCCCTGTTTTATTTGTTTAACTACAGCCTGGTTTTCATGAAACAGGCAGATGGCTGCAGGCCCAGGCTGCTCCTGCTGATTGGGCAGGTGTGGCAGGGTGCATTCAGCTTCCTCCTCACCAGCTTCCTCTGATTCCACTCTGGCCGCTGCCCTCTCAGCTGCCGCTGATGCTACCACCTGCTCCCCCATTGTCTAACAGCAACTGCAGCAGTGATGAGGCTCTCCAGAAGTAGGCTCGCATCATGTTTTAATATGGTGTTTGCACAGCCTTCAAATTACAGGATGGCTTATTTCATGGAATGTCTCCTGGACATGAAACAACGCATGTTGTTGTTGTTAGGTATCACCAAGTCAGTTCCAACTCATGATGACCTTTGTTGTTGTTAAGTGCCATCGAGTCGGTTCCGACCCGTAGCGACCTGTGTAGGGTTTCCGAGAAGTGACTGGTGAACTTGATCCAGTCTGGCACATTAACCCACAGTGCCACACTAGGATTCCTAATGATGACCTTAGGCACAACAAAACAATTCCTGCTCCAACACCATCCTCACAATCATTTCTTCATGTGAACGCATTGTTAAAGCCCCTGTGTCAGTCCATCTCGTTGATGTTCTTCCTCTTTTTCGCCCACCCTTATTTTACTAAGCATGAATTTACCAAGCCTGGCCCCTCCTGATAACATGTCCGGAGTACATGAGATGAAGACTCACCATCCTCTCTTCTAAGGAGCCTTCAGGCTATACTTCTTCCAACACAGATTTGTTCCTTCTTCCAGTAGACCATAGGATAGTTAATATTCTTCACCAACACTGTAATTCAAATGCACCACTTCTTTAGTCCTCCTACTGTCTAGTCGTCCCATGCATATGAGGCAATTAAAAATACCACAGCACACATTCGTCTTCAGCATCTTTACTTTTTAACACTTTCATCAATAGGTCTTTTACAGCACATTTTCACAATTCTGTACTTTGTTTCCTTGGACTACTGCTTCCATGAGCACTGATTGTGGGTCTAAGTAAAATAAAATCCTGTATGGGTCGCTATGGGTCGGAACCGACTTGATGGCACATAACAACAACAACAGTGTCAATAGTGGATACATTAATGTACTATAGGATTATGACAGGAGCTCTGGTAGTGTAGTGGTTACGAATCGGGCTGCGAACCTTAAGGTCAGCGGTTCGAAACTACCAGCCGCTCTGTGGGAGAAAGATGAGGCTTTCTACTCCCGTAAAGATTTACACCCTCGGAAACCCTGTACAGGGTCACTATGGGTCGGAACCGTAACTTCTTACTCAGTTTTTGGAGTCCTGGTGTGGCGTTGGAGGATAATGCACTGGACCACAAGGTCAGCACTTCAAACTCACCAGCCATGCCTGAAAATCCTATACAGGGTCGCTATGAGTCGGAACCGACTCTACAGCACTAACCAACAACAGCACCAACCCAGCTTACGGCTTTGGTTCTTTCCCTCATAAACCGTGACACCTCTGCCCTAGGAACCATCCAGTGATCTGTCCGTTGGCATCAATGTTCAACAGTCTGTGTGTGCCGCACTATTTCTCAACATGCACTGTGATTTGGGTGTTCACGTTTGACAGTGTTGTATAGCAGTGGTTGCTACACAAAGACTTGATAAATACCTTGTGTTTTGTAGCTAGACAATACCTTTAATTGTTGGCATTTGTATTTTGAGCTTTGAAACAAAGGTGAAAGTAGAGTTTTACAACACCAGATATTCCATTTATTGATACCTTCATTAGAATAAGAAAGAAAAAGTTCAAACCTCTTACAAGGTTTTTCCCACTGCTGTTTTTACAAGTAGAAATAGGGATATCATAGTTATGACACCCCCCGACTTCTTTATTCAAACAAATCCTAATGTTTCTTGTGAAGTGCGCGTGCTATTGTTCCTTTGGCGCTTTTAAAACAATCTGAACTGTTTCCTTAAAACAGTTCTCAACTCTGTTAGGATCAATTAGGGAAGTCTGATTGTGAGTGTGTCGAATAGGAAAACTTTTTTCTTATACTATTTGAGACAAGTTTTTCTTTTCCAAACAAAATTCCAGAACGTAAAACATGGCCTTTTCTTTTTTCTTTGCCAGTGTGCAAATCTCCAGGGGGTCAAGATGCTCTGTTCTAACGCTGAAGGGGCATCCCTGAAACTGTGTAATTTTGAGGATCCCTCTGGTCTTAAAGCCAATTTAGAAGGTGAGATCCTGTCTACAGTTGCTACTTTTTTTTTTTTTTTTTTAATGGTGGAAACGTACCACACAGTAAAAAGCCCAGGGGTAGTTTTCTTCTGTCATCATACCTGGAAAATTTGTGTAGGTGTAAGATGCCTCTGTTTGGTCTCAGTCATATCCTGTTAAATTTGAGGACCAAAAAAATCTGCTCTGTAATACCTAATTAAATTGGTGAATTAAATACCAACATCTTAAGCTTTCGAATAGAACACAGTATTTTTATACTAACCAACAGGAAGGATTTCAGTTGACATAAACCCAGGCAGTTTTTGTCATTTTTAGATTTAATGTTTTGTATATGAATTCATTATTGTTTTGTTGTGTCTGTGAACTGGTCACTTTGTTTGCTTGTATATTTAGGATACATAGTGCTATCTCCCTTGTCATAAACTTAGAGAGGCATGTTATAAAATCACTAAGTATCTCACAAGACCCAATTGAATTCTCGCCCCTCCATAAGATACCCTAAAACAGTCTTCATTTATATATTTAGGCAGGTCTTTGACAATGAGCTTTGTATATATAAAACTTAGACTTTTAAGTTGGTTGAAAGTTTGTGGTTTATAGTTCACAAATTCATTTCCCAAAGGTAAACAAAACTTTTACTTTTCACCTTTGTTAAGTCACCTTGCAGTTTCTTAAACATGGTAATTATAAACATTTTTATGTTTAACCCCAAATATGTTCATTTTAGGTGCTAATCTGAAAGGTGTGGACATGGAAGGAAGTCAGATGACAGGAATTAACCTGCGAGTTGCTACATTAAAAAACGCAAAGTTGAAGAACTGTAATCTAAGGGGAGCAACTCTGGCTGGAACTGATTTAGAGGTGAGTCACCAACTTGTGCAAAGTTTGTATTAATGTAGATTTACTATCTCATGCCAACTTTATTTAACTTTTTATTGTGAGTTGGGTGAAGGTTTACAGAGTAAATCAGTTTTCCATTCAACAGTTCACTCATTGGTTTCATGTCACTGATTGTAATCCCCACAATGCAGAATCACTTATTCCACTTCCTATTTCCCAGATCCATTTCTCCTCCTTTCCTACTCAACTTTATCCTTAATCAAATTCTGACCTTTTGTTTTCAAATGGCTCATTGTTCTGGGGAGTGCATACTAGTGTTATTACTCTCCTTATAGACCTACTTTGGGGCTGAAAATTGAGCCATGGGCCTGAGTTCAGTTCCAGACCTCAAGGATGCCTTAGGGCCATAGTCCCAGGGATTCCACCACTCTCTGTTAGACATAGTCTTTTTTATGGTTTTGAGTTTTGCTCCACATTTTTCTCCCACTCTATTCAGATCCTTTTTAAAATTATTCTTTCGGGGTAGTCGGCAGTGGTAGCCAGGTACCATCTAGTTTTTCTGGTCTTGGCATCATGGAAGCTGAGGTTGGTTCTCTTGCACATTTTGTTGAAATCATTAAATAGTTGGCTACTAAAAACTGCCACATAACATGCCAACATTCCACCAGCTGGAAGAATGGTTTTCATTTGAATTGCTTGTTTAAACAAGTTTCATTTAAAAAGCAGAATTCAGTGACATAAGTAATTGATGCTAGTTTCAGATTTGAAGATTCAGCTGACAGTCTAAATTGGTTTTTCTTTCTTTCCTTTTTCTTGGGTCATTCTCAAATAAACTTGATAATGCTTTATTAATCTAATTTATTGAATTGCTTTTCTTTTTAAAATTAAATCCTAAATAGAATTTTGCTTTTTATTTTGTTACATGGAGCCTGATTATTTCATTGAGCTACTTGAGGAATTTTATGGTACACCAGGTTTGAAATCAGGTTCAGAAAAAACCCATTCTAAATTGGCATCCTTGTCATTTTAAATTTGAAGTTGAATCTGAAGTTGCCATTTTAATTGTTTACAAGCCATGCTTTTTATGAGAATTGTATTCTATATGTCTTCTGGATTTGCAAATGTATCTAGTAGACTGGAGAGCCGTTGGTAGGCCTACACTAGTGCTATCCCATAGCACATTTTGCAGTGACGGATGGAAGTGTCTTACAGCTATGCTCTTCAGTACAGTTGGCATTAGCCACATTCAGGGGGTCTTCAAAAAGTTCATGGAAAAATTCCCTTCTGTTTCAGTTCCATTTTTCCACGAACTTTTTGAAGTCCCCTTGTATCTCTATTGATCACTTGAAATTGAGCAACTTAGAAACTATTTTTCAGTCAATTTTTACTCTTAAATAATTATATGTGGCTGGTAACTATCATACTAAGCAACACAGCTTTATTGAAGAATATCTGGCAGAGGTTGGATTACAGAGAAAAGTATAGAGGCAAAGAGAACCAGCCTTAGGCTGAAGGTATAATCCTACTATGAGCAAATTATAGCATATTTTATTATCACTGTCACTTAAGACTATGTATGTCTTTCCCCTCTGGGTTCCAGTGACCATATAGTCAGCTCTTAAGCAGCTAAAGCCTTGCTCTCTGCAGCTGATTGCAATAGAAACTGGCCAGGTTGAGTGTTGGAGGGGCCGCTGCCCACATGCTGTCCTCCCCAGGCAACACGCAGCTGTCAGAACTTGGGCTCATCTTTCACTCTCTGATCCCGAGAGAAGTAAGTGGTGGTGGTGGTTACACTGCTCTGTTTATCAAAACTCACTGAATTGTGCACATAAATTTGGGGCTTAGAAAAAAAAAGGCAGTTCCCTGCTGTACAAATGTTCAAGTTAGGGAATGGAAAAATCAGTGACACTATTTATTAAATAAAACCTCTTTCTCTCAGATATTTCTTCAGTCTCTCCCTTTTGCTGACTTTGGTTGTTGTTAGATGGGAATTAATAGTGTCATTGTTTAGAACGTATTTCCTGCCAAGCGATCCTACAGTATATGAACAGAAGGCACGTGCTTCTTCTTTACCCGTTGTTTAGATGTGTGTATGCTGATGGACCTGAGCATCAGGAGGTAACAAATAATGACACGCATAGAAGAGAATCTAACTTTAGAGTATAATTGGTCAAAACCTTTTAGGACGTTTATAGGAGCATTTTCCCAATATGCTTCAAAAATCATTTTGACAAGAGAGCCTTCAAGCCTTGAATTTCTCCATTAATTATGTGGATATTGTTTTTTGTCTTGCAGAACTGTGACCTTTCTGGGTGTGATCTTCAAGAAGCCAACCTGAGAGGTTCTAATGTGAAGGGAGCTATATTCGAAGAGATGTTAACACCATTACATATGTCACAGAGCGTCAGATGAGACTTTTAGAGGCTGGAGAAGATGTCCAAGATGAGCAGTGTTGACCTTATCACTTTTCTTTCTCCACCCACTCAGTTGTCTAGAAGAAATAACTTTAAGGAACTAGAAAACATTTAGAAGATTGTGCTTGTTCTCAGTGGTGCATAAGGCGAGGGGGGACATAATGGCTTTCCCCCTACATTATAAAAGGAGAAGCACTCATCAAAGAGATGTAGGGAATCTAGGGTATGTTGCTACCTTTTGAATGGGGTAGGGGGATTTGCCTGACTTTATGATGAGAAATAGTATCTATTATATTTGCTTTTATAAAGGCATGATGTGAAATACCATCTTGGTTGGAAATGCATTTGAGGATTTTAATTTATGAAAAGCACAACATATGCAATTATATTTATTGAATTTCTAGATGCAGTATGGGTATTTAAATTGTTATACTGTATGAAAGTTTTGAAAAGGTTGTTCAGGTTTAAAAATCGCTTTAGTGATTGATGCCTCCCCTACTTTACGTCCCTGTTACACCATATAGTTGTGGTGAGACCACTGCCCAAGGCTCTCTTTTCAGGTTCATTTTTATAATGTTTACTTTCTAGGACAAAACAGTAGCTGAATTAAAGAAATCCCTCATTCCTACCAATTGAAACGGAATAGGAGGAAAGATTGCATTGTATACAATTTTCATGCTGAAACTGCAGTGGAACTCTCCAGATGGAGGAACAGTTTACACACAGTTAACCCAGGAACAGCACAGGTTTGAACTGCCAAGGTGCGCGCGCGCGCGCGCACACACACACACACACACACACACGGTGAGCTCAGGTGTTCAGAGTCTCCCCTTAAAACACTGCTGCGTGACTCCACATAAACACTTCATCTCTTCAATAATGGCTCATCCTTCGCCCTTCCATCTTCCTTGACTGGAGAAAGAAACTGCTGAAGCCTAGTTGGTTAGCATCCATCCCACGACGTTTTAAGCAGATACAACATTGAGCTCACCGCAAAACTAACAGGGAAAAAAAAATTCAGGTAGAAGCAGGTCACGCAGTTCAAACCCGTGTAGTTCAACTGTAGTTAGAACTTTTAAATGAGCATTTCCAAAGGAAAAACTAATTCATTCTAAGCAAGTTCTGTTCAACACCAGGCCAGATAATTTTATCTGTTTACGCTACCAGACTAGTGATGGCTACGCAGTTGAAATAAGCATATAGAGAGACAAAGTCAGTTGCATCATTAATATTCATTTAATTCAAATGCCAAATAGTTTAAACAGGACCAGTTAAGAAATACATATTAAATTCAAATCAAAACTGCAAAACATAAATGAATATGGCAAAGTCACTGTTTAAAAGTCAGCCTAATATAATTACAATTAAAGCCCTGCAGTGTGGAATGAGGAATTTAAACTAACAGTTGATTATAGCGACCAAATGCATACAAATGAAAAATAGGGGTAGTTGAGTTGCCCAAATACAGTATCAGTCAGCAGCTGTGGTTCTTTTACTTATATGAGGGGGCTTCAAAAAGTTTGTGGACAATTGGAATTAAAATATAATGGAATTTTGCAGTTTTTGAAGCCCCCTTGTATTTACTGTTTTTTTTTTGTTGTTGTTGTTGTTTTAAAAAACAAATTTCAGCTCTGTTTTCTTGAGTGATCTCCCTGTAGTCGCTGAGAGAGGGCCTGTCCTTCACCATTCACCCAGTGTCACATGTCTACCCAAAAGCAAGGAGACAAACTGTGTCCAAATGGGTTCTGAATTGTACAGACTCATCAGTTGGAGGCAGTGAATCATTGAAAACCACTTTGTCTCCTTTGGGAGAAGGATATGTCTTTGATATTTATGTAGTTTGTTTTTCTATATATACATATGCAAAGCTTTCCTCCACAGTAAAGAGTATGTATGCTTAGTGGGAGGAGACTGGATCTTTACAGGTAAAGGAAAGCAACTTTAGAAATGAATTATTTTCTTTGCTTTATTATTTTTACTGAGACAGAGAGTATTGTATTGAGAGATATCTATTTTCATAATCAATATATACCTAAATTATATTTAAATCATTTCACTCTGTACTATATTTTCAATAATTATAGAATGTGTTGCTCATTCTCCTAAAGGTACCTCTGTAGGCATAACCTAAAACTGCAGAAAGATCTGGAAGATCTGAACACGGTTGCTTAGAAACTAAAGATTTTGGCTCTAATGTATATCATATTAATAAAAGATACAAAATGCTTAAAAGTTTCTTTTCTTGCTTTTTATAATTTTTGCTTATATATCTTTGACATGCATTAAATATATGAGGTTATCAGTGGAGAAGGAAATTCCCCTCTTATGGATTACTTACTGCCTTGGAAAGTGCCGTTAAAGTCAACATTTCTTTAAACATGGTTAATATATGGTCTTTTTAAAACTCACCATGCTACCCAAAACAAAGAAACTATTCATTCTTAACATAAGAAAGTTGTTAAGTGCCAACAAGCCCGTTCCAATTCACAGCAACCCTGTGTAGTAGCGTTTCTGAGGCTGTCAATCTTTGCAGGAGTAGAGAGCCTCTGAAACCAATCCCTAGAGAAGGATATCATGTTTGGTAAAGCGGAGGGTTGGAGATGAAGAGAAAGACCCCCAATGAGATGGATCAGCACAGTGGCAGCAACGGGCTCAGGCGTAGCAACAATCGTGAGGTAGGGCAGGACCAGGCACTGTTTTGTTCTGTTATACATAGGGTTGCTAGGATTGGGTATCAATGCATGACACTTAAAAACAACATAAAAGATTAGCTTTCAATAATTCACTTAATTTATGTTGATCTTCAGTCGATGTACATTACCAATAGCTTTGTTAGGCTGATTAAATACATTGGCCCAAAGAGAATTGGAGGAAGGAAGTTTTGAAAGAGTAAAACTTATCTTTAAAGCAAGTGATAGAACATGCTGAAAGCACCAAGGTTGAGGGAGGGGTTAGAAAAAGACTAAATTAGCAAGATTATCTACATTGATAAAATTCAGTACTTGCAATCAACTAAAGCAATACATATTATACTCTAATGCAGACTATTTACTTTACACTTTGAAGGAAGGTATAATGGTGGTGGTGGTGTGCCGTGGAGTGGGTTTCAACTCATAGTGACCCTGTACAGTGTTTCCAAGGCTGTAAATCTTTATGGGAGCAGAAAGCCTCATCTTTGTCCTCCATAGCAGCTGGTAGTTTTGAACTGACCTTGAGATTAGCAGCCCAACTCGTAACCACTACGCTAGCAGGTAGAGTTGTTGTTATGTGCTGTGGATTCGGTTCCGACTCATAGCGACCCTAGATAGGGTTTCTGAGGCTGTAAATCTTGACGAGAGCAGAAAGCCTCATCTTTCTCCCACAGAACAGCTGGTAGTTTCAAACTGCTGACCCTGAGATTAGCAGGCCGATTCGTATCCACTATGCTACCAGAGCTCCTTAGCAGGTATAGTAGGAAATACTAAACATTCACTTATCATAAAACAAAACTTAAAATATTTTATAGACTGCTTATACTGTAAATCTGTAAAGTCAACTCTAAATCTTTAATACATGAGAAACCTTGTTAAGTGCCATCTGGATGGTTCCGACTCAGTGATCCTATATCCTATATAGGGTTTCTGAGGAGCATCTAGTGGGTTTAAACCAATGACCTTGCAGTTCAAACCAACCTCTGGTCTCATGCTTATCCTACAGCACCACTCCAGGACTCCGTGAAAAACTTCAGAACCTAATTAAATTTTTAAGGAATGTTTTTCTTTCTTTCAATTAGAAAGTGGTTACATTGTCTTCAGTTAAAACACTTTAACCAAAAGATTAATTCTCTGAAAATCTGATTAGGCTTGTTAGTAAGCATTAACCACAAGTTCTTCCTGCTGAGATTTGACATTAAGGCAGAAAAAACTTGTTTTCATCTGCCACTCAAATCACTTAAGTCATGTTTGTTACATTTTAATAATTTTTAGGTTTCATATAGTTTTCTAGCAAAAAAAAAATTTTATGATGACTATAGTGCTCCTTGTAGGCCACAATGGCCAAACTTCGTCTCTCATACTTGGGACATATTGTTAGGAGGGACCAGTCACTGGAGAAAGATATCATGTTTGGTAAGGTGGAGGGTCAGAGGAAAAGAGGAGGACCCCAACGCAATGGAGTGGCCAAGTGGCAGTGTTATGCCCAGAATTCGGGGTCCCCAAAGACCACCCAGGAGCTGTGTACCGATGCAAATACATAAGGGTTGTTTATTCAAGCTCGAGCCAGGTCTCTAACCTTATCCGACACTTCGGAATAGGGAAAGAGCCCCGAATTCATTGTCTGCAGGGTTTTTATAGAGCTTTCAAACAGCTCAGGTTTCTCAGCTTTACAATCTTTGGATTGGTTAACAATTGGCAAACTATAAGATGTTACAGTTTAATTGGTCAGGACTGGTGGTCTTTGTTCTTAGGCTAGGGTAAAGGAAAACATCTGGCCTCTGGCCTTGAGCTGCCTGGCTATTTATATATATATCATTTTCTTGGAGCTAGAGGACGTGTTCAGGCTAATGTACAGAATGGAGATTGACCTTGTTTCTGGAGGGAACTAAAAACTGAGGCCTTGTCTATTTAAAATGCTTTCCTGAGCCTGACTAGAGTTTAGTCAAGCAGTCTCTAGGTAGGCAAAATCAGGTAAAATCCGTTTGGACCTTACAGCAGCATCGATGGATTCAAGTGTGTCAACAATAGTGAGGTTGGCCCAGGATCGGGCAGTGTTTCGTTCTGCTATGCATAGGGTCACTATGGGTTGGTACCAACTTGATGGCACCTAACAACAAAAGCAAATGAATTTCAATTATTAAAATTCAATTTATTAAATTTAACTCCCTCATAAATTGACGTGTCCCTGGATATCCTAACAGAAATAAGTTTGTCACTAAATTTTTTTAAAAAAAACTTTGGTTTCAAACACACCTATGCAAATGGTGGATCATATAGCTGGCAGAATGACAGAAACTTCTTAGAT